ACCTTACCGTACCTAGGTACCCAGTTTGTAAATGTACCTTACCGCTTCCTATAGGTACTATTCAGAATGCCGATAACGGATTTTTCAAGGTACCGCTCAAGCCAGTTTATAGAATGACGACCTGCCGACGTAGCCACCTGATGCCCATTTGATTTATCTTGAAAGTGTCTTTACACGTGGACTTTTTCAAACTCAATCTTGTGGCAGGTATTGTAGGCCAACTCGCCCCCCGCCATACAAACGTGTATGTAGCCTTTGTTGCCTACCTACCAGGTGCTCCATTGCCCCCCCCCCCCCTTAGACGCAAGTGGTGCCCAGAGGCGAGCCTAGAGGTGCGTACCTTTCTTTTGTGTTGGGATGCTGTTTGAAGTCCTCCCTAGACCACCTTCTACCCCGTTCCACGGCCAGACGCCTGCTGAATTGCGTATTTGAGGAGGTGGCGTCGGGCGCGCAGGGCTACGTAGCTGTTCCTAGAACCCTCACATGTGGCACGACGCCCTCCCCACGGCAAGTCAGTCTCACCGTCACAGAGTCGCCCGCCCCCGCCGCGTCTCTGCAGCATTGTCGTCGGCCCCGAGCGGGTAGTGGGCGGGGGTGGAGAGGGTGTGCTCGGGGAGCGGCCGGCGTTGGCGCGACACGCGGTAGGGGGGCGGCGGTTTGGCGACACTGCTGCCGGGGCCCGTCAGTCGCCCCCCGCCTTTTACACCAGCAATAAAACGAAACACTTCTTCACACGCCGAGAGCGCCATGCTTTTCCAAATCCCAGCAGCAGCCCGCACCCTACCCTTCACTTCCCTCGGGCGCCAGCCCCGCTCCCTCGCCTCCCCCACCCACCACCGCGTCGTCATGTATGCCGGCGGCCAGGTTATGTCACGCGCGGCGGAAACCGCGGGGTCAGGGAGTGTAGTGCCGCGAGGCGCGAAGAGGAAGAGGGGTGGTGCGAGGGGGTACCCCACCGCGCCAGTGGACCTCGTGGAAGTATATGAAGCCCCGCGCTGGCCATTCCGACGGGTGCGAGACATACGTCCACGTCCCCGGTCCGGGGGAGAGGGGGCAGCTTGACCGGGGCAGGCTGAGGCTGCTGTGCTGCTGCTCGAGCGCTTGGTTGGACTCGGCTTGGCTTCTCAGTCCACTGTCCCCTGTCTCGCCTCCGGAACTCCCAGCCAAACTTGAGCAATATCCCCCCCCCTCTTTTCCCTCTCCTCTCTGGACGAGCTCTGAGAAGCACAGCATGGTATGGCAGAGTGGGGGCGGGCAGGGGGTGTATACGCATCCAGAGAAAATGATCCACACCCGGCCGGCTGCCCGCCGCCACGACCTACTACACCATCGCGGTGTCGGGGCTGAAATATATTCCGGAGCCCCACCGCGCCGCAAAGCGCTTCATCTCCTGGGCGCCCTGGCCGTGTAACCGGCGCGTCGTCGTCTTCACTGCCGACTGCGGGAGAGCGTGGCAAGGAGGACCGTGGCTCACAGATTTGCGAGACCGAAATCACTCTAGTTCCATGGCATTCCAAACGACAGGGGAAACGTGCACACATATGATACTCGTTATCGTTTGTTTTTGGTCGTTTTCTTGTTACCACAGCCGCATTTCGGGAAACACTGGAGCTATGAGGGCCAAGAGTGGTTGGTTGGGTCGGTTTAGGAGCTGGCGAGGCCAAGGGGCGGGCTGGGCTGGACACGACGCCGCCCGCCGCGCCGCCCATCCCATCTCCATCTCAAGTATTAAAACTATCGGGCGCGAATCTCCGAGAGCAGCTCGGCGGCGGAAATTAAATGAAAGTATTGCGCGGCTGTGATAATTAACGGGTTTGTTGTGGCAGCCATTAGCGCCCCGGCCCGGCATACGCCAGCTGGCCGCGCGGCCCCCGGCGGCCCCCGGTCCGTAGAGGGGCTAGGGGGGCTACCAAACTGAAACTGCAGCCACAGTGTCTTTGCTCTCGGCTCCAGGGCGGACATCCGCAGGTCGCGAGGGACGCGTTGCAACACTAAACAGTCATGATGTACAAAACATAAAGGGTATACCCTTTCCTTATAAGGAAAGTGACGCGAACAATCACGGCCTGGGTGTTTCCTCCACCCGCACCCTCCCGTTGGGGCACGGGCGATCTCCTCAAGCTGCAGTACCTCAAAGATCGAGGGGTAGTCGAACTCCCCCGCCCGCCGCGCAACGACACAAAGTCCCCGCTGCTGGCGTACATCCACCGTTCGAGGGAGGGGGTTTCCACACTAACTGAACTGTAACGACCTGCACTGACTGCTCTCCCTGCTGGTGGGCAGTAGGAACTCCTGCGGGTGCTAAGAGGAGGAAACATCGCAACCACGAGCTGGAATCCTGCAGGGAGCCGCGCGTCCTGTCCACTGTGTGGGGCGTGTTATGAACAGCAGATTTAGTCAGAAATGGGCCGTAATGATCATCGGTTGCCAATTCGACGTTCGTTGTCTCGTTAAACTGCCTGTTTCGTCGTAGTTTTGCGGTTTTGTTTTGCTTTTAGCTTGACCTTCGGCGCGCGACGACTACACTACACGTTTCAATAAGCAATTTCTGGCTGGGCCGCTGAGCTGGCTTTGGCTACGTGCCTTAACTCATCCTCAGCCAGAGAGTGGCTGATCGGACAAGGGGTGATGCAGAGTGGCGCAGACCAGACAGCATTAGTTTTTGTTTGCCCCTCGCGAGTGCAGTCGTCCGACCCGACCCGGCCCAACCGGCGGCCCTCTGCGCCCTATATAAGTTATGGAGTCAAAACTTCTACAATTACAAGTTTTAAAATTAATTTCTTACTTTCGTTTTGCAACAAGTTTTCTCACGGACAGAGAAGAGAGGCCAGTGGTAATGAGTGAAGGAGGGCCAGTCGTTTCCTTTTCCACTTATCTTTAACGAATTGCAGTCACTGCGCACAAAACCTTTAGATCGGCAGAAACTCCAATTACACTACGCGTGAGAGTCGGTTCCTTCTCTCTCGAGCCGTCGAATATCGTCCAGAAAGTACGCCTGTTTTCCGACAGATTCATTCGTGTCAAAGTGGGGGAGCTCAGCGCCTGCGAGACTCGGGGTAGGCCATCCCGCCGCACACGCATGCACTGCACGCGAGATGTTGCCTACCTGCCAGGCGCCATGGCGAGCGCTTGGGCTGAACTCTGACAGGGCAGGACGCAGACGCACATAGTCACGGCTAAAAGGGCGGACGTACTTCTGGATGATCCCAAAAGGCGCCACGGTCGGGGACTATGGGCACACCTGGTTCATGCTTTATTGCAGTGCTGTCTGCAATACATTCCCCACTCCC